TTTTAGCTCAGAGTTGAGGAATTTCAGTCCAGGGGTTTAATCAGAAAAGCCTTGGCAGAAGGGCCTGCGCAGAGGAAAGCTGCTCTCTCGGTGGACGGGAAGCGGGAAGCGGAGAGAGAAGAGAGCAGCGGGAAGCCTACCCTTCCGGTCGCATCATCCCAAGAACTCCCCCCCCACCCCCCCACCCCCGTCCCCTGCAGGCCTCTGTGTGGTGAGGTGAGTCCCCGGTGCTCCCCATGGCCCATCCTCCTCCACATGCCTGCCTATGGGCGACGAGAATTTGGATGACATTCTCCACCTGAACCCTCCTGTCCTGGGTCAGACCTCAAAGTCCTTCTGGCTGGGTAGAGCCACACATTCCTCCGCATCCGGGACATGCTTAGGGGCCACGTGCTAGCAGAACCTTGTCTCGCATGGCCCCTGCCATCACCATAGCGAAGCGTGATCACCTCACAGGCCTGTCACCTGCCAGGCTCTGTCTCCAGGACTTGAGTTCTCATCTTCCCCACCAGAACCATAGGGGTACCCGCCCCCTTCAGTGCAGCCTGAGGATGCAGAGGGGGACTTGGCAGGGAGGAAGCTGAGGGCACAGCTCTGCTGTGACCAGAGCCAGCACCGACTGTCACAAGTCACGTCCCCACCATGCACCCTGGGTGGGATGAGGCTTGCACTGTCCCTGTGGGGTCCCCCAAGCTGAGAGCTTCAGCCCAGCCCTGTTTCTCCCACTTACTAGGGATAGTCATACAGAGGAGATAGGGCCCCCCAGGGCCGCACCCGTCTCCCCACGCTGGCCTCAGCTGCTAGGCTCTTCGATGTCCTTTCAACAGAGCCACCAGGTGCCCTGTTTGCTGGGGCAGCAGGAAGTGGTCAGCCCTGCAGAGGTCACAGTTGAATCACCCCTCCTTCACCTTGGCTCCTGGAACTCATGGAAACACGAAAAGTGGCATCCATGTCATAGCCCAGAGCTGTGGTCCAGAGCCGTGGCACTGGCTGGGGAGGTGTGACGGGGAACACAGTGCCAGGTCAGCTCCATCCTGGCCGAGTCTCCTGAGGCTGGAAAGGTGGGCGCAGGATGGCTGCTCTAAGGACCTTGGAGCTTTTGCATGTTGAAGATGGAGAATGCCCACCCTCTCTTTTGGGGTAGGGATCAGTAATTGAGGGGACACTATCACTGGCCACTGACTCAGGCATGTATTGTGCAAGCAGGAGACAGCATGGCAGTCACAGACAGTCCTCAGGGAGGCTGTTCTCCACATGACGGGACCCCAAACAAGCACACCTGGACATAATGCATTCTTTCTACCAAGCTGGGAAGCAGGCCTGTTGAACAGGACAGTGGGGGAGGGAGAGGAAAAGGCCCGGATCTGCCCAGTGTGCGTGGCCTGTGGCCTGGGGCATCTGCTCTTCCCTTCTGTGCCCTCGGGGGCTAGAAGCTGCCCAACTACATTTCCCGCACTCCAGTTAGCTTCTGCAATGGGAAGCCCTGGGGTGGGAGGGCAAGAGAGGGGCAGCAGGGTTCTCTGCTTCTGGGGTGACTTCTAAAGCCCCACAGCAGCAGGGGCACCTAGGCAGGCATTTGGAGGTGGTAGCTGGGGTGGGAGCTTCTTGCTTTTGTCCCAGTGGCCCATGTCCAGGCCCAGAAGCAGCAACAGAAGTGCTGGCAGCCGCTCCGCAGCGGCTGTAGGGCCCCCTCACTCCTTTTTCCTCACAGGACGCCTGCAACCAATTCCCTGTAGCAAGCAGCTTCCCTGTGAGGTACCAAGCCAGGCTGGACGTTAAAGGACACAGAAGCCAATGAACGAGTTGATAGATATAAAAATGCTTTGATTTTTATCACAGCAAGGGTCAAAGCAGAAAGGAAAGCCCCAGCCCAAGCAGACGTGGATCCAGTTCCCTCTCCTAGCCACAAATGCCACATAGGTAGGAGAATGTCCCCGAGGCAGTCCTGCTGATTAGGCAAAGAACCTAAGCATGGTTTTCTGGAACCTAAAACAGTCACTGCAAACTTGTACTGGACACACTGTGTCCTTGGGTGGAGGGCTGCAGAAGGGATCCGTAGTTTTAGCAGAATGTCAAAGAAATAGGAGATTCAGAAAAAGCTGTAACTTTTTCAGCCCAAGGAGTACATCACTGTGCCCGCACAGAGTACACGAAGAAACTCCTGCTTCTACTTACCTTGGATCCTTAGATTGCAGGCATTTATGCTTACCTTTGTGACATCTTTTCCCCACTTTGGTTTGTTTTGTTTTGGTTGAGAGACCCTCTCACTATGTAGCCCAGGCTGAGCTTGAACTAGTGGCAATCCTCCTGCCTCAGGCTCCGGAGCACTAGGGTACCAGGCAGCTCCAGCACTGAGCGCCACCCCCCCCCCACACCCCCAACCCCCCATGCCCATCCCAAGTTCTTTCCTTCGGGTACACACTTCCTGCCATCAGGGAGGGGCCTAGGAATGGAGGAGGGTGACTCCCAACCCCTGCCTCACACAAACCACTCCCTCACCCGACTCTGCTTTTGCCTGTAGTCCCAGCTATGCAGGAGGCCAATGCAGGAGAACTCAAACAATGTGGGAGTTCAAGGCCAGCCTAGACAATGGAGTGAGACCTTGTCTCAAGAAAACAATCCCACCAGGGAGATGGCTCAGTGGAATAAGTGCTTCCCTGGCAAGTGCAAGGACCTGACTTCAATCCCTGGTTCCGCAAAAAAAAAAAAAAGAAAGAAAGAAAGAAAGAAAGAAAGAAAGAAAGAAAGAAAAAGAAAACAAGCCCAACACAAAACAAAACGCTCCTGCTTTTTACACTGCGTCCTACTCACAGCAGCACCCACCCCCCCTTTCTGCAGGGTGATCAGAACCACCCAGCCTAGCCACTGGCGTCTGCCTGGGGACAGAAAGACAGGGAGACTGTCCACGCAAGGGCCAGCGGCTAGCAGACCCAGAAACCAGCTGCAGCAGATCTGGGCTTCTGAGCACATTGCGTGGAGGGCATCGAGGGTGGCTGGGGGACCACGGCTTGTGTGCGGGGCAGAGTCTGTGCCAGGAGGCGCTGTCACCTTGGCTACCAGGAGGGCACTGGGGTGGGGGGTGGGGGGTGGACACCCGGGTCCGGGAGAATTCGCCGCTCACTAGCAGCGCGACTCAGACTAGGGGCTGCCTGCCTCTGGCCTCTGTTTCCCCAGGGGAAACATGCGCCGCGCTCTCTGTGCAGCCCGTTCTGGCCAATCAATGCACTGCAGCAGCTAACAAGCAGACGCGGAAGCCAGGAGGGGGCAAGGTCTATAAAGGGCAGCGGTGTGGAGTAGAGAGCAAGGGGTCCTGCGTGGCCTCGCTCAGATGGTGACAAAAGCAGAGGAAACGAGGGAAGCGGCTCTAGAAGCACACTCTGGGCAGAGGAAGAGCAAGTGCAAAGGCCCTGCAGTGAGAACACACTTGAGATGTTAAAATGACCCTAAGGAGGGAGCAGCCCGGCTAGGAAGGGGCAAAGCATGTGACCCGAAGGACAGGGCCTGCAGCCCAGCACAGGAGGCTGCCGGCCACACTGGGAGCTGGGCCGGGCTTCCTCAGAACCCACCAGGTGCTGGGGTGCGGCTGCACCTTGGACGTCGCCTCACCAACAAGGGGACCTGGCCAGGCCCTGTAGGACACAGCCACAGGCCAGGCACAAGAGTGAGGCACTCGGCCCAGCAGCAGAGCCCCAAAAGGAGCATCAAGAATCTTGGTCATTAAGAAAAACAATTTCCCTGAAATCTATTTAAAATCAAAATCCATTCCAAGAAGCACACGAGAAACAAAATGCCAGTATTTTATTTATTTACTGAGGCAGGGTCTCACTGTGCAGTCCAGGCTGGCTTTGAACTCACTATGCAGCCCAGGTTGGCCTTGAACTCACGGTAATCCTCCTGCCTCAGCCTCCCAAGTGCATGGATTACAGGCCTGTACCACCATGCCTGGTCACCACATAAAATTTTACTTACAAAACAGGCAGCTGGCCCACAGAAGTGGTTTGCTTACTCCAGTGCATACACCTGTGAAGCCAGCTCCTTGTGAGACTGGGGCAGGAGGATTTCAAATTCCAGGCCAGCCTGGGCACCTGAGTAAGTCAAAAGGGATGAGGATGTAGCTCAGCGGTAGAGCACTTGCCTAGCATGTGTGAGGTTCTGGGTTCAATCTTCAAACAGACAAAAAAGGTCTTAAAATAATACATACCAGGACTGGAGAGATGGCTCAGTGGTCTAAAGCACCTACTTGAAACAAGCTTGGCAAAGCACAGGGGCTGCGGTTCGATCCCCCAGCACCACATGCCAGCCAGCCCCGCCCCCTGGTGGGCTGAGCTGGCCACACACACACAATAAATAAATGTAATAAATAAAAATAAATAAATATTAAAAAAAATAATACATACCTACGCACTCTCTAAAGTGATCACACAGTAAGGTATTTCAATGAACCCTTTGGGGTACACATTGAGTGCCCCAACGCTCATCCCTCCTGAGACTAAGGCAGCAGGGACTTCCTCGGAGCAGCACAGACTCGGGTTCCATGCAAGGGACCCTACTGCGCCTGTCCTGAGATTCTAACAAGTTCTGGCTTCCTACCACAGTATCCCAAAATGTGCACCCACTTTAGCCACTTGGCTGCTGAATCCTTACAAACTGAGCGCGCCTATGTAACCAGGGTTCAGAGTTAAACTAAAAGGAATATTTACGTTGCCAACAAAACAGGCTTTAGTTCTGGGCTGGAGCTGACAGCTTTTGAGATTCCCGGGGCAATTTGGGACGGGAAGGGCACGCCCAGAGTTTAGGGGTCCAGAACTGAAACTGAGACGCTCAGGAGAGAGGGCGCGGAGCTGAGGACTGTACCCCGGCGAGAGCTCGCTTTGCCAGGCGGATGGACAGAACCCGCCCTCGGACGTGCGAGTCCTGCCGGGGCCCAGGTAAGAAGGCGGAGGCCGCCAAGCCCGCGCGGGCGCGTCCCAGTGACTCAGCCAGGCCGCTAAGGGGTACGAGCGCCGGGTTCCAGCTCCCCCAGACCTCGCCCCGGCTCCGCAGGGCGCAGCCGGGCCTGGCGGGCGGGACCCCTCCTCTCTGCCTGCCCCGCCTCCTCCGGATGCAGCCACCGACCCATCGCTGGGACGTTGGGGACGTGGGCGCCCGGGGCTCCAGAGCTGCGGCGCCGTGGAGGCCACGCCCTCTCGGGCCCAGTAGCGCCCCAGGACCTGAGAGTGCCGTAAGTAGCGACTTAGAGGACTGAGGGTGAGGGGAAGCCCCGAGTTCCTGGCCCAGTCGTGTCCCACCCACCTTGGCCATAGCGCGGGACCCGGAGAGATGGCCAAGTGTCGTCGCCCGCGGGAGAGACCAGACTGTGGCTGCCCCCAGGCAAAGGTGGCTGAGGCGCTGTCACCCCACTGGAGTGCCCATGGGCCCACCTGGCCCACTAGGCAGCCACAGCTCCGCGTCCCCCTCCCCCCGCGGGTCCCTGACACCCGGGAGCTCCAGTCCAGGCGTGGGCGCCCCTCCTCGCCTTCTGCTCGCACCGTGGCTCTAGATGACCCAGGACTCCAGGCTGAGCTCAGGGAACTGAGCTCTGAGTCTCCTCGTGGCCCCAGGGGAGGCGCAATCCGCCTTCCCACGCCTTGGGAGGGTGGGGACCAGAGCGCTCCGGCCACGCACAGGCAGAGGAGTCGGTGGTCGGGCTTTCCGGAACCACGACTTCTGCGGGTTGGGTCTTGAGGGTCCCTGAGCCCAGAACCCAGGTACCCGGATTAGGACCCCAATGGAGACGGGGGATGTGCAAAGCGTGGCCGTGGAGCCCGACTGCCGTCTTTGGAGCGAGATTTGGGGGGTGCGGTTGCTGTCGCTTTTGGCCCCGGGTCGTTTCTCTCTTTCCTCCGACTTTGCAAAGTTTTACAGAGTTTAGGACAAAGGGAACGGCGCAGCCCGCGGGGCTCGGGCCTGGGGCGGGGACTTGGGGAGTCGGGGCCCCGCGCGGAGGAAACGCGCCGGGCTGGCTTCCTGTGGGGGCGCGGGCCTCGGCGCCCCGCGGACAGACGTGTCCGGCCGGGGGGAGGGAACACGGGGGCGGGGAGGCAAGGAGGGGCGGAGACAGGGTGGGGGGCGGGAGGGGAGGAGCCGGGGACCCGGGACCGAGGAAGGGGCGGCGGGTGTGTGGGAGGAGGGGGTGCGGGCGGCACCCGCCTGTGGCCCTCAGCGGGGCACGCGCGGGGGAACCCTGCCGGGAACACCGCACGAGCCGCCGCAGCCCGCTGAGCCCTGTCCCCTGCAGGTCCAGGGCCGATGTCCCAGGTGAGCGGCCAAAGCCCCTCTCGCCACGACGCGCCCCATGGAGCCCCCGGCGCAGTCACGGAGCCAGGTAGGAGCGGGCAGGAGAGCGAGGGGCGGCTGGTTCTGTCCCTGCCACCCGAGGAGCAGGGAGATGGCCGGGAGCGCGAGGGTGGGGTGGGGCTGGGGCGAGAAGTCCAGGGGTCGGGACCCAGTCCAAGGATAGTGGAGGGCCGGGTGGGAAGGCCTGGCCAGAACCGCGGCGGCTGCGCCAAGTTGGCTCCGACTCCCCCCAGCCCATAGGCTCACACACAGCAGACACACAGCACACCCATAGCGCGCACACGCGCTCACACACACGCACACGCACACACTTGTGCTTGTGCACACACGGCAGACACAAAGCAGACAGACCGAACACACCAGCAGCACACACACCCGAGGCATCTGTTTCTCCGTCCTGGGATGTGTCCCCCCATTTCTGCCTAGTGTGTAAATATTTACGGGGGCCTTGGGCTGTAGGGAGTGGGGTGCCTTATTGTTCCTTTCCTTCCCCTCCCCCAGTCCAGGGAGTGCCCAGCGTTTCCCGAAAACTTAGGTCTGCCCAGGGCTGCTGTGGGACGCCCCCCCCACTCACCTACTGCTGCCCTCTCGCAGGCTTTCTGCCCTGCCTGAGCCTCAGCGCCCGCTGTCCTGCGGGCCCAGCCACAGATCAGCCTGCTAGACAGCCCCTTCTGCACCTTGGGAGCTAAGCTCCAGAGTATCTATTGGCAGGACGCTTCTGACCAAGACAGGCTGCCATCCTGCAGGGTCCGCCGTCCTGGGATCGCACCCTCTCATCCACAGGCCCAGCTTAGGTCGTGAGGGGGATGGGTATTCATGCAGGGTCTCACCCAGGCTCTGCCTTCCTCGCTTCCCTCTGCCTCCACCTCACTCTGCCCCACCTCAGGCTACATGTCTGGTTGGGGAAGCAGCTGGGCTCCTGTCTCCCCAAGATGAACCCTTGTACTGTGGAGTGAGGGTCCCCTACACCAGAGTGAAGACTGGACCGCCACCTGGCTGATGGCAAGCACCCATCTTCACACCTCCTGGGGTTCATGCTCCCTCTGCAGAGGAACTCACTATGGGGGCCCCCAGGCTGCAAGAAGCGCTGGGCAGGGGCTGTAAGCATGTGGTGCACTCCCGCCTGTCTCCTCCCTTCCTCAGGGCCTTCCTCCCACCCCATGCTTCTCCCTCCCTTATCCACTCTCTGTCCCCTCCACCACTGCCTTCTCCTCCTCTAAGACCCACCCCATCTGACCTGAACCCAGTTCAGCGTGCTTCAGGCAGGGTCACTTCCTGGGCAGGACCCCAAGGGCCCCAGGACCCCAGGGCACCCCCCTAGGGTGGCCCAGGCCAAACAATGTGGCTTTCATAACTCAGGCCTCTTTCTGCCTTCCTGCCATGGCCTTGGGAGTCTGAGCCTGCTGCCCAGGAAGCCCAAACCGCAGGCGACGCAGCCAAAATCCCACAGACGCCTGAAGCTGAGACTGAGCCCTCTGCCCCACCACAGGCCAAGACAGGAGGGCAAGGCCAGGGGCCCTTCCTTAGCTGCCCAAGAAGTGGAGGGGCCGCAGGGGACTCAGCAGCCCTGGCTGGGGCAGATGGCCAAGCCCACACCCTTGGCTACCCCAGTGGCCTCCTCCTTACCCATCCCCAGTGCCCCAGAAGCCTGGCTCCCAACCCTGCACACAGACTTCTGCCCAGCACTTCAGTGTCACATTCCTGCACTGGGTTCTAAACTGAATTTCCTGGGAATCAGAGTCTTTGAACCTAAAATAAAACCAAGGCGACCCCACCTAGCCAACAGTTTAGCTTGGTGGTCTAAGACCACGTTATATACAGCAAAGGAGCCTTCTGTCTCTGGCCTCCTTGAGGTTCGAGGCTGGAGGTCAGCACTAGGCCTCAGCCTTCTGTCTCTCTTCTCCTGACCTGGGGCACCACGAACTCTAAGATTTCAGCGCTTACCAGACCTGTGCTGAGCACCCTCCCAGGTGTGGCAAATCCAGCTGCCCCAGTGGAAGGAATGGGAAAGGCAGCAGTCCTCTGCAAACATCCAGGTCTTCGTGACCAAATTATGACCAGCAAGAGGGACAAGGCACCATGGTCCTAGAAACTGCATGGCCTGGAGGAGGCATTGCTGGCCCCGGGGTCCGGGAAGGCTTTCTGGAGGAAGAGAGGCTCCAGCGGGGTCAGGAAGGATGGGCTGGGTTTGGACAGTGGTCAAGAGGCACCATGTGAGCCCAGGCAGACTGGTCAGCAGGCTTGGTGATGGCCAAGAGCCACGGAGAGGTCTGGAACGCAGGACCTTTGTACACTGAATCCACGGAAGGTGCCAGCCGAGGATGTGGACCCAGGGCCAAGCGGAGACAAAGTGCAGGGCTCCGGATCCAAAGAGGTCCTGGCTGCTCTCCAGAGCTGATCGGAACTCCGAGGGGAAGCCTGTGCCACTGTCTACAGAGTCAGGCAGGACTGGATTTGAGGGACCTGGCACTGGAGCTCTGGAATGAGGCCTCTCCCATGCCAGCGCTCACAAGCACTGCCTGGGAAAGACCCTCAGAGGCAGGGTCCACAGGGAGGCAGGCTTGGGGTTTCTGCTCCAGGGTGCCACGGGCATACTGGTGCCGCCCCATTAGGCGAGCAGGGTCAGCAGGGGTCTGGCTGGGGCTCCAGCCCTACCTGATCAGGCCCTGTGCATGTCGCCCACTGCTGCACATCCACCCTCCGGGAGCCGCTCCTCATAGAGGCTCTGCATATCTCTCTTGGACAATGATGTCCCTTGTTCACAAAGAGACAACTGGTTCTGTGGCCCCTTGGTGTGAGTGCAGGTCATTTCGCCTCCTGTAGGGCTTTCCTGCCCCTCCTGAGCCCAGGATGGCTCTTCTCCACCAGGTCCTGGGGGTGGAGCCTTTCCAGCATGGGTTTCTCTACTGCTGTTGCTTTTCTTCCCTCTGGTTCTTTTGTTTTCTGAAAACAAGATCCCACTATGTAGCCCAAGCTGGCCTTGAACTCACTATGTGGCTCCAGCTCTTGGCCATCTTCCTGCCTCAGCCTCCGGAGCGCTGGGATGACAGATGCGCACCACCACACCCAGTTTTCCCTCTGAATCTGGTGCCTGTCCCTGAGCGTGTGATTCAGGCCTCTTCTTCTCTTGGTGTGCTCTTTCCCCGTTAGGACCTCTCTTGTCTGTCTGTGTGTCCAGATCCAGACCACAGACCTCCTGCCCTTCCTCGCTTTCTCCGGTTCTGGGGCTCAGGCGGAATGGCCGGCTGCTGCCGGCTGGCCTCAGCTTTGCTGTCCAGAGCTTCCTGACGGAGGCTGGAGGTCGACAGCCATGCGGGTGGCTGCAGGGAGCGTTGGAGAGCTGGGACTGGGGTGGCCGAGGACTCCAGTCTCCACTTTTTCTCACCTTCTGCCTCTCTACCCCTGGAGGCCAAAACAGCAGGAGTCTGGGCTCTTCTACAGCACTGACAGTCACCCCTGCTGCGACCACACAAGCTGACCAGATTTCAGGAACCTGCCCCAGCTGGTGGCCAATGGGGAACAGGAACAGGACCCTCCTGCTCCTCGCTGCCTTTTAGCTTTTGTTACCCCTCCTAGGACAGGCTGGACCTCACCTGGGGTTAGGGCCTGGTGCTGTGGCAGGACCCTGGCCCCAAAGAGCCAGAGCTGCCAGGCTCCTCAGACCCTGGAAGTTAGGACCACAGCCCTGAGCTCCTGGGCTTTGTCTCTGCATACCTGTCCCCATCTGTCCCTGCTGTGATCTTCAAAAGCCGTCTGACCTGTCTGTGGCCAATGCTGGTGGCAAGGGCATCTCTGGACAGGCCAGAAGAGCTGGTGGGGGTGGGGCGGAGTGCCCCTGGACAGGAAGGGCCCCCAGCAGAGACCCAGGTGCCACGCCCTCCCCACCCTGCCCCCACTCTGGCCCCAGCAGGGCCTGTGGTTTACCCTGAGCAAGTCACAGCCCGTTTGGGTCCTCACGCCACCCACATAGGCCTCCAGGACCTCTTATCCTCAGGGCCCCGAGGAACCAGAGTCAGCCTGTGTCCAGCCCACCCAGCCCAGGACTCCTGTGTGCACAGCCTCGTCGATCCCTACTTCTCCCCTCTGTTCTCACCCCTGCTGTCCCTCTTGCCCTCTGCTGGGGAAGGAGCCACAAGGAAGCCCTCTCTGTACTCTGGGGGTTGCAGTTCCCCCCGCATGGCGGTTCTGCCTCCTTCTGGGTCTGTGTCCCCAGGCCCTCCTTTGCTGTCTGTGTGGTATGTGCGCGGCAGGGGTTTGTATTTCCCTCTCAGGTCATCCACCCCTCTGTGTGGCCTGCCACCCTTGGGAGTCTCAGTCTCTGCTCCCCAAATGGTGTATGGTAGGGTGGGAGAGGCCAGAGCACATTCCGGCCATGGGGTCACCCTGTGGCCCTGTGCAGCCTGGGCGGGGCTGCAATCCAGAGCTCAGGCTGCTTTCTCCTTCCATCCTCTAAGAGCCCCAGCCCTGTCACCTCAGATCTGTGGGTTTGGAGGTGGCTCCGGGTCTGGACACTGTAATTACCCATGGGGCCTCTTTCCCCTGACAGGCCAGGGCCCTGCTCTCTGACCCAGTTCCTGCTGCCCCTCCTCCCTCACCTCTGCCCATCCTCTCTGTCCCTCCACTGCCTGCTTTCAGCCAGTCCCTATTTTCTCCCCATCAGCCTGACGCCTGTCCCTGTCACTCCCCCTTCCCTCTCTGCTGGGTACCTGTGCATCCCCACATCATATCCCTGCACAGAGCACACAGCCCTTGCTCAGCCACTGGAGCTTAGGAATTCTTTGGGGGTCCACAGTGGTGTCCCCCAGGGAATAGGCTGAGGACCTGGTGTAGGGCCAGGGATGTGACTCAGTGGGCCCATGATCTGGGGGCTGGGCTGGGCATTGGGGAGGTGCCCTGGAGACAACACCTTGGCTCTGCTTTTTCCCCAGGCCAGTCCGCATGGCTGGTACCTGAGCTGGAGGTAGGAACAGGACCCGCTGGTTCTGTGGGGGCAGCACCAGAGGAGGAAGAGGAGGGCTCCCTGGAGGAGGCGGCACCTCCCATGCCCCAAGGAAATGGCCCTGGGGCTCCACAGGCCCCGGACAGCACTGACCTCGATGTCTCCACAGAAGCTGTGACATGTGAGTCCCTGGGGACCACAGGCTGGGGCAGTAACATGTAGATGAATTGTCAGAAATGCGGGGATCAGGACTGGGGAAATAGCTCAGCGGCCTAAGCACCTGCCTGGTAAGTGCAAGGTCCTGAGTTTGATCCCTGGTACTGCACATCATGCTGACCACCAAAACCAGGCTTGAGGGGCTGGGGAGATGGCTCAGTGGAATAAGCGCTTCCCTGGCAAGAGCAAGGACCTGAGTTCAACCCCCAGTTCCGCCAAAAAAAAAAAAAAAAACAAAAAACAGGCTTGGGGTGCACACCTGTAATCCCAGAACTGGGGAGGCTGAAACAGGAGGATCACCATGAGTCCAAGCTGCATAGCAAGAGCCTGTATCTAAATAAATAAATAAATATTAAAAATAAATTAATAGGGGCCTGCCCCTTAGCTCAGTTGTTTAAGTGGCTGCTTCAACAAAACAGCCTCAGCTTGCTGTGGTTCGATCCCCACAACTCCAGCCAGCCAAACATGCCCTGAAGGCATTCGGAGCCAGCCCAAAAAAAAAAAATGTGGGGGGCACCTGCTACCCCTTGGCCAGGCCCTGAAGCATGGGCAGCCACAGGAGTAGTGCTCAAGCTAGAGGAAAAGGCTGGGTTGGGCGAGATCGGAGTGGAGATTGCTGCATCTTCCAAGGGACCCAGGGCACAGGGCAAGAGAGGGCAGCTCGTGAAGATCCCCAAATCCACAGGCTTGCTTCTTTCTTTCTTTCTTTCTTTCTTTCTTTCTTTCTTTCTTTCTTTCTTTCTCTCTCTCTCTCTCTCTTTCTTTCGAGATAGTCTCCCTATGTAGCTCAGGCTGGCCTTGACCTCACTATGTAGCCCAGGCTGGCCTCAAACTCACAGCGACTCTCCTGCCTCAGGCTCCGGAGTGCTGGGTCACAGGCATGTGCCACCACACGCGGGCTGCGGACCCACTCTTGCTTTCCAAATTGCTCTCCTGGCACGAGTGCCTGTGCTTGCAGGTTAGCCTATAGTGGGCAACGGGATACCAGTGGCCAAACTCATCTTATAGATAGGAAACTGAGGCACAGAGACCTCCGCCCTCCTTGGCCCCAGCCAGGGCACCCAAGCCTAGCCGTGGGCTCAGTGCTGTGCTGCCTGCCCAGCTGGCCAGAGCACTGGGAGCCACCCCCAGCCAGGACATCTGGGGCCAGGCCAGCTAACACTGTGCCCTCAGCTGCCACCAGACACACCCGCGGCCAGCAGCATGGAGAGGAGGTCAGAGCGTTGGCCACAGAGCAGGGCCCCAGGGGGACATGGGACAGACGCTGCTGTCTGCAGCCCATGTTTGCTCTGTGACTCAGCCCCACAGCTCCCCCTGTGCCTGTACCTCATGGACCCGGCTCACCACATGCACCACCCCAGCTTCCCGTGGTGCCCGCTTAGGCAGCAGGGCAAGGGGCACCATAGCCGGCCAAGACCCAGCCAGGCCCCCTCCATGGGACCAGGAGGCAGGCAGGATGATTCAGGCCTGGCCACTTCCTCTGGCCTTACCCCTGTTTACTGAGGTACTGGCCCAGCCACACCTCTAGCCAGAGGCTCGGCCTCCTCTCTCTCCTTGTCCCGGGCTCCTTCCTCCCAGCCTCCAGGCCTTGTCCCCTCCACTTCCAGGCTGACAGACCTTCGACAAATTTTGCCCTCCCTGGGTCTGAGTTTTCTCTTCTGTGAAATGGGACCACAGAGTGATCTCTTACAATGTTTAAAGGGGCAACAACATGAAAAGCGTTTGATGCTAACGGCTCAAACTCATACATCGCTCCAGCAATCCCAGCTGCTTGCGTCACTGACGCAGGAGGAGCAATCAAAACTTTGAGTCCCACCTGGGCAACTTAACAAGCTCCTGACTCAAAATTAAAACTAAGGGAGACACACAGTAGCGCAGAAGTAGCAGCCTGGGATTTCGTCTCCTGTCCCCTGCGTGCCTGTCTGCTGGCTAAGCACCAGCTCTTACTCTCCAGGCCGCTCCCCCCTGGAGTTCTGTTTCTGCATCAGAGTAGAGGGGCGCTGTACCCTGCCAGTGCCTAGATGGGCAGCCGGTGCAGCAGGTGCGCAGTGAGTGCTCCAGGTTGTGACCACTGCCCTTGCTAGCAGGCCAGGCCCCCTTTCTGTGTCATTGTCTGCATTCCAGACTGTGGAGTCTGGAGCCCCAATCCCAACCTGGGGAATGGAAGTACCCCACATTTACAGAGGGCCTGGCTGCAGCTCAGGCTGGGGGTCCCGAGCACCCACTGCCCCTGCTGAGTCCCCAAGAGCATGTGCCTACCTTCGTTGCCACCCCTGGTGAGGTCTAGGAAGGAGCTGGCACTGGCTAGGGGTCAGCTTCCTGTACCCCACTGATAAAGTTGAGAGTTGGGGCCCTGGCCTGGGAGGAACTGGGGGTCCTCCCCCCCAGCTTCCTTTTCCTTCTGACCCAGACTCGGTGGCCTCCACTCTTTCTGCCGCCTGCCTCAGAGGTAGGGGCCAAGGCTTGAGCTTGGGGGGAAGGAGCCACAGATGGGGGCTGTCTGAGGAAGCCCTGGGTTCCAGGCCCAGGCTGCATCTCCAAACAGATGTTTCCAATAAATCACCCAGTGCACCAAGGGCAGAAGCAGCTGGGGGCTTGGCAGCAGCCAAGGGGAAGGTTAACTGCTTCGCTGCTGTCCTTGTCTGTCCTGTCCTCAGAGTCCCAGGACTCCAAGAACAGGAGCTGAGTTTCAGGTGGAGTACGAAAGTCTTGGGCAGGGGGGTCATGGTGGCACACGCCTGTGATACCAGCACTCAGGAGGCTGAGGCAGGAGGATGAATCACTGCTAGTTCAAGGCCAGCCATAGTGAGTTCAAAGCCAGGCTAAACATGCATAGCGGGACCCTATCTCAACAAAACAGGAAGTGGAGCCCAGGCTCTGCATAGCCCCTCCACCTTGCAGCATGAGCCTCTTCTTTTGTGGGGTGAACACTGGCCTGGGGGTCAGGAGCTGGGGTCCAGCCTGCTGCCGTTCCCTGGCATGGCTCTGGGCTTGTCAGTTCTAAGCCTCAGTTTCATTTTTGCAGAGGACAGTCTGGCTAGAGGCCCCGTGGTGCATCAGGCAGAACTGGGGCTTGCTGGAGACCCCCACACTTCCCCCAACACCCTTTTTCTACACGTCTCCAGGCCAGCCTCAGGGGAACCCGTTGGGCTGCACCCCACTACTGCCGAATGGCTCCAGCCACCCCTCAGAGCTGGACAGTAACAGGCAGACGGGGAATGGTGCTCTTGGGGGCCCCAAGGCCCACCGGAAGCTGCAGACGCACCCATCTCTGGCCAGCCAGGGCAGCAAGAAGAGCAAGGGCAGCACGAAGTCCACCTCCTCCCAGATCCCCCTGCAGGCGCAGGAAGGTAAGCACCTGCCCGCCCTTTCTCTCACAGCCTGGCCCATGACCAGGGCAGCAGCCCGAGCTCCAGATGCTGGCTAGAAATGCAGAACCCTAGGCCTCACCTCCACATGGGGCCCAGGAGCAGGGCTCCCAAAGCCCTTTGTGCCCACTTGGATCTGCCAATCTTGCAGAGCACACCTGTTGTATAAACGGAGGATACCCACATTCTTGAGGCTGCCCTGCCAACCCTGCTCTCTGGGAAGCTCAGATATGGCCTGGGGCCCTGGGGCACATGCAGAGGAAACCCCTCCATTTCTGGAATCAGGAATTTTCCTGGAGGGGTTGGGGAGCACAGCTCAGCGGTACTGCACACGCTGGCCACATGCAAGACACTGGGTTCCGAGTTTGGTCCCCAGCACCAGAAACAAAGAAACAGAAATTAATTTTCTTGAAGGTATGGACCATGTGGCTAGCGAGGGCAGAGTCCTTGGCAGAATACGACCGTGCTTCATGGGGCTTGGGTTCAGAGGACCCAGAATTGTCACCCCCTGTTGCACTTTCAACAAAGATCCTCCACCACTTGGGGCCCCAGCTCTGCTGCTGTACTCAGGGCCTGCCTGACCCTCACCTCATGCATGTTGCGGGACCCTGGGCTGGGTTCTGCATGCATGACTAGGATATGGACCGTGTCCCTTCCTGTAACAAGTACAAAGAGAAAGAGGATCAGATTATCACAGGGCCACCCGTGCCACCCACACAGGGCAGGGAAGGCCACAGGCTCTGCAGGTGCTGAGGCCGAGTGGGAGGACCCAGCCGGGAGGTGCAGGTGCCAGTGCAGGCAAGGAGGGGCCAGGGAGGGGCTGAGTGGACCCTGTGTCTGGACAGCCAGGGGGACATGGTAGTGACTCACCAGGTGGGTATGCTTGTGAGGGGCACAACCAGGACAGTTCAGGGTGGTACCTCCCCCTTCAACTGGAAGGCACAGGGTAGGGGAGACCCTCAGGGTGAGCCTGTATGTAGGAGAAAGGGTGGGCAATGGGAGAGCCGCCTTAGGGGTCCTGGGGATGGGGGCTTGTGGGTTTACATTTCCCCAGGGTTACAGGATCCAGCGTAGGCTTCTGGGTGCCCTACACAGTTCCCGAGCCTCAGGCTTCGGTCTCCGCATCCATATAGTGGGCTCCCTGCAGCCTAATCTTAGTGTCATGGGTGCTCTGCATGAGTTTTCTCCCACACAGCACCTGGGACAGTGGGTGCCAGGGCCCTGTCACTCTCAGTGACTTAACTTAAATCTTAAGTTACTAAGCCAAGGAAGGGCAAGTCTGACACTCCACAAGGGCTGCCTGATGTGGGCCCTGCTCTGAGCCTGGGGTCATCACTTGCCCTAAAGATGCTGGCCTGAGCACTATGCTCACTTCGCACAGCCCGGCTACCTGGGGTCCCCACTGTGGCCTCTCCTGCCCCCACCCCACCCCCAGACTGCTGCGTGCACTGCGTGCTGTCCTGCCTGTTCTGTGAGTTCCTGACCCTCTGCAACCTGGTCCTGGACTGCGCCACCTGCGGCTCCTGCGGCTCAGAGGACTCGTGCCTGTGCTGCTGCTGCTGCGGCTCTGGCGAGTGTGCCGACTGTGACCTGCCCTGTGACCTGGACTGCGGCATCCTGGACGCGTGCTGCGAGTCAGCCGACTGCCTGGAGATCTGCATGGAGTGCTGCGGCCTTTGCTTCTCCTCCTGACCAGCGAGGGACACAGGGATGGACGGACGCACGCCCGGGCCACCCATCTCTCCCAGCCACCACCCTGGGACTTCCAGGGGGCTGTAGGGGGGAGGGTGGGGGGTACCAGGGCTGCGGAACACTGTGAACGTTGGGGAGGGGAGGGAGGGGGTCCATGGGCTTCGCTACCTCTCTCTGGTGTCTCCTCTCATGCTGCCCCAGCTGGAGGACAGCAAAATGTGAAAAGAGCCCCTTCCCAGCCTGCCGAGCCCCAGTGGACCTTCCCTAACCCACGAAGTGACCAGGAGGCCAGGCCTGGGCCAGGACAGGATGGGACAGCACAGCAAAGCCTGGAGGGGCAGGGGCAGGCACGGAGGAAGGGTCTGTTCTATTTGTCAATGTACATAAAGGTATTTGTTCATCTCTGCCTCCTCCTGCCCATGACCAACTGCTCAAGCAACCCCCCACCTGTGAGCGGCGCATAACCTGTCCCTCACCTTCTCCTCCCTCATTCGCGTCCCCTACCAGGGAAGGAGGCAAGGAAGGGGTGCTGCCTCCCCTCCCCAGGGAAGAGCGCCCAGAGCCGGAAGAGCCAACCTTGGCGCAGGATTAATTAATAGCAGATGGGTTCAGGTTTTGATTGATTAATCTGCTGCTGAATGCAGCCCTCCAGTTCGCCCCTGTGAAGTCACTCCAAGGCCCAGGGAGACGCCCATGTCAGTGGCACAGGCCTGGCACTGCCCCAGTGTGCACCAGGCCTTGCTGGGAGGTGAACGGGGGCCTGCCTGGGGGGAAAGTGACAGCCTCAGTCACCCCTTATCAGCAGGGCCCGGGAAAGCAGGACCATGTTGGGATCCCAGAAGCCATCTGTCTCAAGTCTTTGGGGTGCAGAGAGGAGAGGAGACCTGACTGCCACAGAGCTGTGCAGGGCAGGGAACAAGAGCAACACATGCCCAGGGCCTCCAGGAAGCCAGGAGTCAGGGTAGCAGAGATGTCGTAGGGTAGGGCACTGGGTGGCTCTGAGGAGGGCTTGGGAAGTGGGTACCCAGGGGCACGGGTGGGTGCTGCTCTTACCACCGATGTCAGGAGTGGTTTGGGAAGTTCTGAAAGGAAGAGGGGCGCTCAGAAGGGGGCTCAGTGGGACCCAGTTGCTCTGGAATGTCCCCCAGATTAGGAGTCCAGGCCGAGGGAGTGGGCCTGGGGAGGGACCATGTGCCTCAGTTGGTTTTCTGATCCCTACAACCACACCCAAAACTGAGAGCACAGGAAAGGACCCACCCAGGGCCGCCCGCTTGGGACCCCATGTTCGCTCACCTTTCATTTGTTCCTGACTTATCCTGCAAGTGCAGAAGGTGCCCGCAGTCTCTGTGTGCACGGCACTCACATGAATTCACTTCTGTGCTGCACCTGGACCGTCTGCTGCCTGTGCGTCTGAGGAGTTTGATTTTCAGGCCCAGGACCTGGCCTTGGACTGGGTGGACAGGCCACTGCTTAGTGATGAACTGGCCCTGTCCCAGCCTGGACCATCACAACTGAGCTGTTCAGAGCACACTGCTGAAGGTGGCATTGCTGGGCCCCCGGGTGCTGCCCAGTTGTCCTCTGGGGGGTGCACAGGGTCCGAAGTGTCCACATGTGCCGTGGTGTTTCCCCTCCTCCTGGCGACCAGGGATGGGAGGGAAGCGGGATGCCAGGGCAGCAGGGTGTCTGGCACAGGCCGGCAGGAAGAGGCGCCCGTGCAGTCCAAACACTGGCTTCCTGCCGAGGCCTCCTGAGGTATTTGCTTTAGGCTGGAACTTGAGACCTGAGCCGCCAAGGGTGGGGACGGCGGGATTCAGCCAGACCCCCACGCACGTGCACACATGCACGCACACACGCGTTCTGTAAGTCATATTTCCACACACGCATACACATACCGGCCCCACACACCACTTACACACCCGATTCACATCTGTTCACACATTGCACATTTCAAAGTCCGGGCTGGGCCCGAGCCCCAGCCCCACGCCTGCACCTTTGCCCACGCTGCCTCTCCCAGTTCCTCCTGTGTGCCCAGCCAGCCACCTCACCTCTGGGCAGCATATGGCATTCATGGCCAGACCACCACCCACCTCCCCTCGGAGCTACCCACGGAGCCTCCAGAGAAAGCCAGGGACCCCCCCCCCCGTGGCCCCTGTGGGCCCCATCTCTGCTTTCTCACCACACTAGTGGCTGGGCCGGGTGCCAGGTCTGGGCCCGGCTTGGCTGTGGATCCCAGGAGCAAGGTGCTACCAGTTTCTATGCCCTGGTTTCCTGGGGACTCACTGGGACCCTAAGGTGCCTCTAGAAGTCTGGTGGTCCAGGGTCGAGTGCCACCCTGCCTCTGGTGCCCAGGAGACTACTCGGGGACTGCCCTCGCCCTGGTTGTCCCCGCTGAGGTGAGCATTCCCAGCATGGGGCACACGGAGCTTCAGGATGCCACCTTTTGGACCCCAGAGGTGTGAGCCGGGGAAAATTTTAAGCAACACACCTGTCCCACAGGCAGTTAGGTCGCAGGCCTCTGCTGGCTCCAGGGGAGAGGAGACGAAGGTGGGGGCAGGAGGGTCCCTGAGGCTCAGGATGACTGCAGATAGCCCCCGTAACAGCTAGGAAAGCAGTGTGGCACCCTCAGGATGGCCCTATGCAGTGGAACAGGAGCCCTAGGGAGGAGCGGGCCCAGCCCACCCACCCTTGTGTTTTCTTCTCTCTCCACTGAGGAGGACCACGACCCACCACTGGTCAATCACTGTGCCAGGGAATGGAGGGCTGTGATTGTTCCGGCCAAAGTCAGGGATCATCTCCACGGCCATAGCAGGCTGGTTACTTGGTGGCCTCTCCAGAAGCAGAATGAAGAACTGGGGAGGAGACGCTGCCCAAATAAGTAGAGGTGCTGTATGAAATTTAACAAGGGAATGGCTGGCCAGGTAGCTCAGCTGATTAAAGCGCCTGCTTGGGCAGACGCAGGGATCGGGGTTGATTCCCAGCATGCTGTACCGGCCCCATCCCCAGGGCATGCTGAGATGACAATTGAGACTGGGCGTGGTGGCACACACCTGTAATCCCAGCACTTGGGAGGCTGAAAACAGGAGGATCACTATCAGTCCTATCTGTAGACCCTGTACTAAATACATAAAA